ACAATAATATCACAGGTGCATCATCATTCGTCATGTTCATCATCATCACACAAAACATCACAGTCCATGTCATCACATGGTTCATCACAGTAATCATCATCATCACATAAACGTCACAACATCATGTTATCACATAGTTCATCAAAGTAATCATCATAAAACATCATCTCATCATAGCTCATAATAATAATCATCATTATTCGTCACGCCATCACAGCACATCATAATAATCCTCACCACACATCGTTTCATCATATAATTCATCAAACTAATCATTATCGCACGCAATGTTATCATATCTCATCACAGTAATCATCATCGTACAACATACCCTCATATTTTATCATCATAATCATCATACATCATATTATCATAATTCGTCATATTAATCATCATACGTCATATTATCATAATATTAGTTCATAATATTATCTCATATTCTCTCATATCATTTCATCAAACCATACTCACGGTAATCCTCATACTATCGCCTATTAATCACACAACCTCACCGTCATACTCATGTTATCATATAGCTCGTGAATTCATAGTAATTTCATCAAGTTAATTCAATCAATACATCGTAGAAATCATGTTAACATCATGTACATCTCACGCAAAACCCACCGTCATAATCACAACAACCCATCACAGAAATCACAGAATCAAAGCATCAAGACATCATTGAACCAGAACATGATTCGTTACTAAAACATATACACAATTGACTTCTCAAACATAATTAGATATAAAAATATTGGGAAAACAATTTCATTATCTATCCTATGTTATAGCTCTGTTCATTAGCTTTTCAACGCTTCAAACGGGGGTCAAAACGGACTTACGGATCCAAAGTTACGTCCAAAACAATTTCGACCGAAAACATGAACAGTCGTGACGGACAGAAAGATGTTGTTACGCTCCGGAACTGATTTTTACTCAATTATTCTTACGAATAACTCACTCAACGTACCCAAAACATCACTAAAACATTCCTAAGGTTATACAGCAATAACATCACAACTTCTATGGTTTATTAGGCTCATCTAGTAACATTTGCAACGCCTAAAACACTATTTCCTGCAATTACTCTGAGTACTTCAGAGTTACTCACATTTGAATATTCTTATTCCTATAGGGACAACATGTCACAATTTTTCCTTCAATTACATCCTACGGCATTAAAATTACTTACTATCCAATATTTAATCCCTTTAGGGTCAGACATATAACAATGTCAAGCTTTTGGCCACAAAGGCCTAAGGTTTTCCACAAATTTTATGTTAATATTCAACGATACATACCATTTGGCCATTTGGCCATCCTCTCAGAATCTTACGATTACTTCTCTATTTCCCACAATTAATTCCAAATCCCTAAACCTTACATCAACCACAAATATACCGAAAATCATACATAGAAAACTATGAAAAACAATACTCCACATACCTTAGCCGATTCACAGGCTTCACGATTACTCCAGGAATCTTCCGAAGCTTTTGCCTCCAATTCTCCCTCCTCAGAACTCTGGCCTCCATTCCTTTCACGGTTAACAAATGAATCCCAATTCCCTTTAGAATTCTATTTTGTTAAATCTCACAATTTGGGCTTTTCCCATAATATCCTCACTAACTCCTCCAATCGCCCAAATTGCCCTTATTTCCCTTATTTCAATTTAATTAATAATAATACTAATAAATTAATATTATATGCTATTAATTAAATAAATACCCAAAAATGCACATTTTCTTAATAATTCACCAACCACCCGAAAATCACCGAAAACGAATATTCTTAATTAAATAATTAATTAAAATACTCCAATTAAATTTGGGGTGTTACAACTCTCCCCCACTTAAAAGAATTTTCGTCCTCGAAAATTACTTCAAGAAAACAGAGTTGAATATGACTCCCTCATCTGATCTCCAAGTTCCCAAATCCAACTTTCTCTAGTTGGTCCTCCCAAAATTACCTCTTCCAAGGCAATCCCTTTACCTTATAGTTGCTTCTCGTTCATCAATTCGAACAGGCAACACTTCAATAGTCAAGTTACCTCCACCTCGTACATCGTCCATCTGAATCAAAGTACTTCCTCAACTTAGACACATAAAACGCATCCAACAATTTTCACAAGCGACAACGGTAAAACATTCTAACATGCCACTTCTCCCACGCTTCCGCTGCGCCACTCTGATACAGACCACAAAACACGGTGTAAGCTCTCGAGACTCCAAAGCTCGGCCAACGCCAGTTACCATCATAACTCTCAAAACACGTTTTTTCTTAGATCCCCTTGATCTTCTCAGTTGTCTCTTGCACAATCTCAGGTCCGAGTACAAGACTCTCACCTAACTCATATCAACACAAAGAAGTCCTACACCTCCCACCATACAAATCCTCATATGGTGTCATTCTGATACTAGAATGATAACTGTAATTGCAGGTAAACTCAACCATCGACAAATAACTATCCCACGATCCACCTCGATCCAACACATAAGCTCTCAGCAAATCCTCTATAGACTGGATAGTTCTCTCTGTCTGTCCATCCGCCTGCGGATGATAGGCAGAACTCAATCTCAACATGGTACCCAAAGTGTTGGAAAATTCTCCCAAAACCTCGATGAAGATCTTTGATCTTTACCCGACACAACACTCAACGGTATCTCATACAACCTCACAACTTTCTCAATATACATCATAGTTAATGATTACTCCTCATTAGTAAGAGATGAGCTGAGCTAATCAATCCATCCATCATTCCCAAAGTGAATCATATTCATCTCACAGTCTTCGGCAACCCGACACAAAATCCATAGAAATACTATCCCCTTCCATTCAGAAATATTCACAGTTGCATCAGGTCCAACAGTCTCTGATGTTCAAACTTCGACTTTCCACAAGCCTAACCAGCATACACAACTTTAACCACTTCTCTCTCCATCTATGGCCACTAAACAATTTCCTCAAATTCGGTTACATCTTCATAGCACCGGGACGGATACTCAATCCACTTAAATGTCCTTCCTCAAGAATACTCTTATCCCAACTCAACAATATCTGAAACACAAACTCTATCACGACATCTCCTGATACCATTTTCATAAATCTGCAATTCGACCCTTCGACTTTAATTCATCAAATTCAACCAATTTACCAACTCAAACCAGATTCTTGACCTTCTCGAATCTCATCAAGAATACCACTAGTAGCTCCACCATACTAAGCTTAACTCCATAAGAAGTCTCTTCACAACCCAAGCTCACATCACAAAATTGTCCAATCAGTTCTAACTCTTTTACCATCAATATCAGTATATACAAAGATTTCCAAATCGATGCATCAGCTACCACGTTTGCTTTACCCGAATGGTAATTCAATCCAAAACCATAATCCTTCAAAAGTCCCCATTATTTCCTCTTATGTACTTTAAGTTTCCTTAAAGCATAACTAAAACTCGCTGATGTTGCACTTAACATACCTCCCAATCTTATCAACAAAGCATCACAAAACACAACAAATAGTCCGGTCGGATTCGGAAAAAATCAACACACAAGTTGTTGACAGCTCTCCCAAAAACTCTTTGAAACTATCTTCACAGTGGCATATAACCGCTTCTTCTCCAACACTGATAACTCATGTTCCCGATGTTCAACATGATCCTCATGTTCCCGATATCAAATCGTAAGATACCTTTATCTGAAAACATGAAATTTTCTGAATAATGAATTTAGATATATTTTGAAAATGGTGGGGGATTGTTGGAGAAATTTTCAAAATATTAAATTGATAAATAATAATGGTTAAATTAACAAAATAGATGATTAAAAGTTGCAACTGTCTATAATAGAACCAGAGACCCTATAATGATTGGGTGCGTGGTCAAAATGTGCAACTACCAGATTAACACAATTTTTCATGAAAAAGTTTGTTGTTATTGATATACAACGCTTCGTGAATGGTCATGTTGGAATCAGATGAAATATTGGTATAAGTTTTTCTTTAAATAGAGATATTTGTTAGACATAAAATATACACAAAAATTATTTGTTTCAAGTGACAAAAATTATATCTAAGTCATTATTTTATTTTTCTAATGCACAAGAATAAATAATGGAACTTTATTCCGTAAAATATTGTTGATCGATATGTTTAATATGAATATGTGATTTATGTTAAGGTTTACAAAGTATTCTGAAGGGGATTCGTCAATTAACCCTTTTGCATCCGATTTACATAAATTAATAGTGGCGAATCGAATCTAAAGTTTAGTGTAAACACACGTTTTGAAATTTATTTTATATAATTTTTATAATATTCTTTTCATCTTCTTCTCGTTTATGTTTTACAGCAAACCCCCGATCTAATAAAAAATCGAAAACCTATCTTATGATTAAATTTTTTTAAAATTATCAGTATAATGCAGTGAGATTCACAGTCAGTCATTAGTTTATATTATAAAAATAATTTATACTGTGTATCATCCAATTTTTTTTTATTTTAAATAAATTCCTCGTTATGAAACGAAGGAGAGTATGCATTGCAAAATAGATCTCAAGGAAAATGGGAAAAACTTAATTATTGTGGAAGCGGGTACATATATGGTTGGCAATTATTGAAGTTGGACTTAAAGTTCTCTCGTAAGCAGACACTTTGTGGACAAAACTATACCTTCTAGAAACCTTTCTTACGAGTGGTACAGGTAGACACGCAAATAATGATCTCGGTTTGGCTTTGTGATCATGCCGGTGTGGCTTTGATACCTACACGCATACTAATTTCTGGTATGCAACTTAAACCATTCCATTTCTAGCGTCGCTGTGAATTTTGCATATTTTGTGTCATTTGTTTTTTCTAATTGCACAATTATATTGTACTACTACTCACATGAAACCGAGCTTTATGAACGCCATATATTTTTCACAATCTGCTGTTTAATCTTTTTTTTAATAGATATTTTTCATAATATTCTGTCTGTTTAATTTTTCTGACAGATAAACATGTTTCATGCATCGGGAGATTTTGTATTTTCAGTGCCAATACTTTTGCTGTTGTTTGCCACACCATGCTTAGGTTCTTTTGTGAAGGCTGAAAATAACATAAAATCAGCTGTTTTTTTGTCTCCTAAATTTGAGCTAACACCTGGATCAGTTATCAATAGATATTATTATGATATTGATTTTCCAAAAGGTCATATAGCACTCAAGAGTTTCAATGCAGAGGTAGTTGATGAGGCTGGAAATCCTATACCTCTTCATGAAACATATCTTCACCATTGGACTATTGAACGATATCATCAAAGTAAACATGTCACGCACACAGAAAATGATGGCCACATGATGCCTCACAGCTCTGATAATGTAATGGTGAGAAATAGTGGTATATGCCAGGGAGATAAAAATGGACAGTACTTTGGCCTTGGATCTGAAACACGGGGAACGACGACCGATATTCCAGATCCTTTTGGTATAGAGATAGGTAATCCTGAACAAGTTCCAGAAGGATTTGACGAGATATGGATGGTTAATGTTCATGCCATTGATACGCGCGGTGTAGAGGATAAGCTAAGGTGCACGGAATGTAAGTGTGAGCTTTATAATGTTACAGTGGATGAATACAGAAAGGCTATAGGGTCAGGTTATAAAGGAGGTGTTTTGTGCTGTTATGATTATGCACAGTGCAAGTTGAAAGAAGGATTTGAGGGACCAAAGAGAAGCCTCTACCTAAGGTACACCGTCAAATGGATTGATTGGGATGATTATATAGTGCCCCTTAAGATATATATAATTGATGTGACTGATACATTGAAACAATCAGATAATTTAAAAGGAATGAACACAGATCATAACTGTAAGGTAAGTGAATTCATCAAGAAACAATCTTAGTCCGTTAATTTGTCGGGTATATAGTAAGTAAAGGGGATTTTTTTTATTTGTTTCAGGTTGAGTATCAAATTGAATCTTGCAGCACTGATCATAAGGGAAAAAATGGCTGTGTTGATGTGAAGAAGACAAGTGTTCCACAACAAAATGGTGGATATGTGATATATGGTGTTGCTCATCAGCATTCAGGTGGAATTGGAGCTACCCTATATGGACAGGTAACTGGAAAATTGTCATTACTCTCTTTTATTTATATAGTCGCTTGTTCTCTGAAAATATTGGATTATGTTTTTCAGGATGGAAGGGTTATATGTTCTTCAATACCAAGTTATGGAAATGGAAACGAAGCCGGAAATGAATCGGGGTATATTGTTGGAATGTCGACTTGTTATCCAAAACCAGGTTCTGTGAAGATAATGGATGGTGAAACATTAACTCTAGAGTCAAACTACAACAGCACCAAGGAGCACACTGGAGTTATGGGACTTTTCTACATATTAGTGGCAGAACAACTTCCATACCAACCCTTGAGACATTCTACTCGTTCTTCATTTTTCATGGAGTCAAATAATACGCTTTTAGATAGTTAGTGACACATATACGCGTGTGTGTTTGTGTGTAAGGACACGATTTGGAAGTGTTAATGAATAATAGAGTTCTCTCTGTATGCACAATACAGGATGTAGGCATATTGTCAAGTTTACATCTATTTTTTAAATATTTTTTAATGGTATATAGTTTGTATTTTTGGCTCAATACCCTATTGTAACATATGACTTTGGCTATATATTAAGTTTGTTTTAGCATATAGTTGCTTCATTATAATTCCCGTAATGTAAAACACTAAAAAAAATTCAAGTTAGGAGAATATCATCTAACAAGTATAAAAAACATTCGACAAATGAATTATTATAGGGTAGATCTGTTCGCCGTAAAAATTAGTCAACAATCGTTGATCTTATAAATCGAAAAAAAAAATTGGTTTATTTGTAGGATCAACCACACAAATCTTAGGACATGTGCTAATTGATCTTAAATGAAGTTTATGAAAATTATGAACACTGTGACAGAGTCCATTATAAAGCAACTTATTTCAAATATAAATGAATTTAAATGACAGTAAGTGAAATCGAAATGCTGGTAAATGACGAAAATAAAAATTTGCATAAAGAAACGATAAATTCTTAAATAAAGAGATTTGTCAAATTGCATTGAAATGAAAAACTGGTGTTTAGTTAACATACATTCTTACAAACTCGTTTCTCTCAATCACACAAATACTTGGAGTATACTGAAGAATTTGTACACAATATACAAATCTTAACACTAAGATCTGCTATTTATAACAATCAAACATAACTGCCATTAACTGCTAACAAACGAAATCAAGACAAGTGTCGTTGTGCATGCCTTTGAATCATAGGGGAGCTCCATGTGTCTTTCTTAAAAACGGATTTTTCCTCTTTTATTTGAATTCAAACAATCTCGTCGAAATACCCCTAGCAACGCTTCTGTCGAATCAAATCTTTCAACTGCTGAGAAATATCTCTAAGTCCATAACATAGACTCTCCTGGCGAAAGGACGCCTTTGACTCTCATTTCAAAACATGGCTCTAACCGAAGTAGTTAGAGTTCTTCAGGAAACTCTATTTGTTACTTTTAACTTCATTCAGACGTCGAAATTAGGAGCCAACAAATTGCCCCCCAAAAATGTCATTTTCGACATCAATGAAGAACAAGACATTTTTTATAGTATCATTCGACGCCTCGAACGACTTTTGCATGTCTTTTATTATTCCAAGAACTTCTGACGTCAGGACCATCATGGCAATTTCTGAAACATGTATCCTCAAAGAACGCCATAATCTCTAGTCATCATCACAATCCCTAGATACTAAGAAATCGTGCACTAGGTATTAACTGCCCACGTTTTGTCAAACGGTCATTGTGGGACACGTGCCCCACTAACTATTAGCTATTTAATGCTGATTTAAGGTCCTTTGAACTCCCACAAGTCTATAAATTGTTCCAAACTTGCTTATTTTAACTTTTACGCTCCCAGAAATCTTCAAACACCCTTCTTGCCTCTACATTTTCAAACTTCTAAACAAAAACCCAGATTCTCAAAATCTCAACAATGGCATCTTCAACTACCAATGTTAAGGATTGCAAGAAAAGCTACAAGTCCAAAGACCTGAAGAAGATTTCTCAACTTCCTCCTGTTGACACGCTGTCAGGTACTCATTCCTCTTGTTGTTTCTGGTAAAATGCATGCCCTATGTGGCCCTCTGCCTTCCCCTAGTTTTGATCATGATAAATCTAGGGACTTTTTCCCCTCTTACCATAAATCAAAACCCATAGGACAGGCCAACAAAACTAGGATAGAGAAAACTTCTGCTGATGCGGTAGTGTTAAACAATATATATTTAAGGTACACGAACAATATCTTTAGAGTTTTTAGAGCAACACCCTCCTTCAAAGAATTGGATGATTATATGAACTGGCTAGCAAAAATAGAAAAAGTCAAATCCCAAACCTGGAAGAAACTGAGAATTTATGACTTGATCATGCTATCAAAAACAAGTCTTCATTATTTCCAGACTATGTTAGTTTCTTCCTTGTACTTCTGGGACAACACCACTATACTTTCCATCTCCCTTGTGGGATGATGAACCCCACGCTTTTCAACATAGCTCCTATCACAGGGCTTAAACCCACCGGAAATCCATATGATCCTGACCTAGAATCTGATGATTCCATAGGTTTTACCTCTCCCAAAGCCACATACTCTCATTTCATAATGCACTTTTTTGACAAAACAATTGCTGATGTTTCTGATCGAAAACATATAGCTTTTTTAAATGTGTGGCTATCTCACTGCATCTTTTGCTCAAAGTCCCTTCAAGTAGCTAGGAGATACTTGACCTTGGCCACTCAACTTCACAAAGTCCATGACATCTGCCTAAGCGAAATGATCTTGGGGAACCTTTATGAGTCTCTAAGTGAAGGGGTAGCCCAACTCAAAGACTTGGGAGAAAGGGGAAACATGTTACTATCTGGTCCCTTCTAGCTTTTACAACTCTAGTTGAATGCCTCATTTGAAGCCAACCTCCATTAAAAAAATACAATCGACGAGGACAGACCCTCAGGCCAGCTTACTCCAAGCGAAGAAGGACAGACCCTCAGGCCAATGTTCCTAAGCTATGTAATGATGTTTGCTAAATGTCATGAGTTCACGTCGAACATGACCCCATTTTCTACAAGAAAACATGGTCCTGAGTGGTTCACCAGACCTTTCCCAACTCTAAACAAGGCTCAAGAAGCAGAATTTTCACAGATCTGGGAAGCCTTCCTGATCTCAAGGTTGATAACGCTTCGACTGAATTTGTCAAAGTCTCAAGTTGCTTTGGTTTCTTACCAACCAAACTTGGTGGCTCGACAGTTTGGGTTGGTCCAAGCTCTCCCCAAGTGCCTCTTCAAAAAGAAAGATGCTATTCTACTTCATAATGTGAAGTACACTGAAGAGATGGCTTCGACACACCTTTCCCGCTACTCCAACAAATCTCAACTCATCCCTATTGGTTTTAATCCCTGTTTCTACTACACCCTAGAGTTTAACCACTGGTGGTCAACGTACTACGCAGAAGAGTTCTTCTATGCACCTTCTTTTACTCAACTTATTAACCAAGCTTTCCTTTCTGTGCAAGAGAAGATCAAGAAAGGTAATTTGACACACATCAAAGAAATCCAAGCATTCCAGAAGTACTTTGAAATTGTTTATTGACCAGATGATCTTAGTCAAACCATCTGCGAGGCAGATGTTACTTTAAAGGAAAAAATTTTAAAGAAAATGGAGAATTTGGAACTCCCTTCGTTCGTTCCTCCTAAGGAACGGTACACAATGGCTTTCAAAAAATTTCCTCTTAAATTTCCTCGACTACCAAATGCTGACTTTGGAGTGGCCCTTGCCCCTCCATTTCCAGACTGGTATATATGCGGGGATTCCATAAACATCCTTCATTAACAGTCGAAAATGAAGGCTCGGCGGGTGGTTGCGACTAAGCATACTCTAGACAGTTTCAAAGGTCCTCTTCATATCGGTATGGAAGATGTTCGCATCGAATCTGAAATATATGAAGGTGTGAAATGGGAGGTTTTCGAACTAAATTTCCCTTATTTGATTTTTTATCATCTTACTTGTATTGTTTTTGTTTAAATTTCAGCTGTTAAAGTTGCTCCCAAAAAGAAGAAGCAAATCAAAGAACAGAAAGAAGAAAGCACTCAAGCTGCTAAGGTAAATCTCTTACTTAATTCTCCTTTACTACAAAATCTCGCGTTGTCTGATACTTCAATTTTTCTCAGAGTTCTCGAAGGCCACCCCTTATCCAAAGAAGCAAAAGTCGAGGGGAGCTTCCCACAAAATCATCATTGAGTCAGATGAGGAAGACCAATCTCCTCTTGAAGAATAAACCTTGAAGAGGAGGAGGAAGCAAACAAAAATAACTAAAGCCTTCAACCAACCAAAACCAAAGGCTGGTAAACTCTCGACAACAGCAACTCCTGCTAGTCACGCAGCACAAACTGAAAGAAACAATTCTACTCCTAGGGCTGATGATCCTAAGGTAAAAACTTCTCCGCAAACCTTGCAATTTATTTACCATTTATTCCTCTAATCCTTTGTATTTTCTCTTTACAGGTTACCACCGACACAAGAGGTTAACCCATGGTGAAACAGCTTATTCCAACAACAAGTAGTGACCTCTAGAAGAAGAAGACAAGGTGAACCAAGAAAATTAATCCAAGGATCCTCCAACCACCTCTTTGACTGGCACTCAATCAACCAGTCTTTCCCATGAAGAGTTGGAATCTTTGAAAGTACAGCAACCACTGGAGTATTTAAAGGCCATGCTCAGTTCTCAATACAGCTTTGGCGAGAAGAGTACTACTACTTTGACCGCCTCAGGGAACACCCTAACTGGGAAAACTGACAGTGACTTGCATTTGCAGATAAAAGAAAAAATATTTGCAGTGGACTTGATTCAAATCCTGGAACAAGATGTTTCTGTCAGTTTTAGTCTTAAGAAGCTTCTGAAACAAATCAATGTCTTGGAAGTTTCCCCAGAAGTGGTTGATGTCATTATGGATCTGAGCACGATGATTGATCTAGTTGCCACTGATCTCAACTGCCTTAAAGACTTCTCAAGCAACATTTCCAAGAAACCTGGCAGTCAAAAAGTTGCATGGGAGGTTGTCTCTGCATCTATTGAAAAGTTTCGACACTTAAGAAACTTTCTGAGCAGAATAAGAAGGAGGTCAAAAAGTGTGACAAGAGCACTGCAGAATGAAAGAGACAAATTGTCGTTCTACAAAACAAAATCTCTCAGGCTAAGCAACATAAGACTAATCAGTTCAGCTCTGTCGAAGATGAAGTGGCAAAAGAGATCCAGGCTGGCCTTCAACATCTTGAGAAAGCTCAATAACTTAGAAAAGACATCGAAGCTCTCTCAACCAACAAGACTCTCTGTGAACGCCGCCTGCTCCTTCAAAAGTCGAAGTATGAAAAGATGAAAGACTCTCTTCCCTTCTAGAC